TACTATTTAATTAAAATGCTGCCTAAACATGCCTGGCGCCAAAAAGCCAAAAGTGTCAGAGCCAGGCGGATTTTATTTATTTTATATTTTTCAGAACAGGCATGACATGAGTCCACGCGGCGCCACCACTTACCAGTCACACAGACCGGTTCTGTGCCAGGTGCAGTCGCTGGACCATCTTCAAAGGCTGCCCCATGTATAGCGCATTGCAATAGTGCAGTCTGGTTGGTACCAGTGCATGAGTGACTGTTGCCAGGCTCCACTCATCCAGGTAAGGGCGAAGTTGATATATTCTTTGCAGCTATAAGAAGGCACTCCTGGACACCGAGTCTACCTGGGCTTCCAAGGTCAGACCCAAGTAAAGGAACACCCCCAAGCTGTGGACCCTGTCCTTTAGGGGGAGTATAACCCCGTCTAGGGCAGGGAAATGGCCCTTTAACCTATCTGGCAGAGCACCTACCAGCGGCATTTCTGACTTGTCTGGATTGAGCCTCAGTTTATTGACCCTTATCCAGTCCATTACCAAGTCCAGGCACGAGTTCAGAATGGTGAGTGCCACACCTGGATTGGTAGAAAATGAGAGGTAGAGCTGGGTGTTGTCAGCATATTGCTGACTTCTTAGCCCAAACCTCCTTATGACCTCCCCCAGCGGTTCCATGTAGATATTGAATAGAACGGGGGACAGTATAGAACCGTGAGGAACCCCATGACACAACCGCCATGGATCAGGCCTACTGTCCCCCAGCACCACCTTCTGGACCCGATCAGCCAGATAGGAGCGGAACCTATGGTCGATGGTGTCAAAAGCCGCTGAGAGGTCCAGGAGAATCCACAGGGATGCAGTCCCCCTGTGTCTCCCTGGCAAAGGTCGTCAAACAGGGCGAACAAGGCAGTCTCCGTGCCATAACCTGAAACCCAATTGAAATGGATCTAGTCAGTGGTCCCCAACCTTGGGCCTCCAGATGTTCTTGGACTACAACTCCCAGAAGCCTTCACCACCACCTCTGATGGCCAGGATTTCTGGGAGTTGAAGTCCAAGAACATCTGGAGGCCCAAGGTTGGGGACTACTGATCTAGATAATCCATTTCATCCAGGAAAGCCTGGAACTGCTTAGCTACCACACGTTCCAACACCTTGCCCAGAAAAGGGAGGTTCACCACTGCTCGATAGTTGATAGCTAGACCTGGGACCAGATTAGGCTTTTTAAGGCTTTTTACTTCCATGGCTACATTTACCTGAATCATTCATATAAGTGTTCTGATAGCCTGCTGATCCTATTACGTGTGTCTTTAAAACTGTGTTGTGCCCTCGTGATATTTCAGTGTTGCCGTACATGACTGACTGTGTCACAAATTTCATTGTGCTGTGTTCCATTGTGCTGTGTCTTGATTCAACATGCAAATTTTGACATAATTGTTACTCTTTTAGGTTTTAATTTTATCAGGTATATACATACTGAAATAATGAGTATTGGTGGGGCTGTCAATTGAATATGGAAAAGATGCTGAATATATGAATATGGAAAATAATATTCCATTGGGTCAGTGGGGCTCACTGGAGATATTCAAACAAAGTCTGAAATTGCAAAATGAGAGTTGAGTGTGTACTAAAAGTTTTTTTTTAATTTCCCTTTTAAATTGTTCAAGATAGGTTAGAGTACAATAAACAAAACATAGGAAAAATGATAAAATGCTTCAGATGCTCCATCACATCTGTTAATAAGGATTCAGAAAAATTCACTGGACGTTTGGAGGATCCTTCAGAATAATTTAGGAGGTGATGGAGCAGGTTACAGTACAAAAGAGAAATCGATAAATGTCACCTGCTTCCCATTTAGTAAATGGGAGCCTACAACAGAAGGGCTGTGCAGAGCTCAAGCCAGTGTGTTCTCTACTGCTTTGTTTTTTTTTCAGTTAACACACAAACACTTTCTAAATAATTTCTTAAACCTAAAGAGTCCAAAGGATCACTATTAATAAACCCACTTTTTCTGTGATTGTCCATGCTGTACTGCACTATAGCTGAGCCTAAGCAATTTTTTAAATTTGTTATCTAATAGATTATCTATGGAGCGTTCACCTCTCCTCTTGCATTCTAAAAATCATCATGTGTTTTGTTAGGACTGTATATGTTGGGCTGGGCAACCCAGGGTGCTCCAGTGACCAGAGTTTCTCCACCTTAGTTATTGTGAATTTTGGTACCAAAACCAGAAGTGGCTGGATCACACCTTCAAAAAAGGGAGATCTGGAATAAAAAATCATATGTGCTTCCCATTCTTCATGTTTTAATTTGATTTTAAAAATAACTTAGAGGATAAGAGGGCTTTGAAGGCTAGTAAAGACCACTGTGTGGCTTTATGTAGCACAATCAGATATAGGTAAAGGTAAGGTTCCCCTTGACAATTTGTCCAGTCGTGTCCGACTCTAGGGGGCGGTGTTCATCCCCGTTTCCAAGCCATGGAACCCGCGTTTTTCCGTAGACAGTTTCCATGGTCACGTGGCCAGTGTGACTAGATATGGAACGCTGATACCTTCCCACCATGGTGATACAGTGGTGCCTCGCATAACGAGTGCACCGTTTAACAACGAATTTGCATAGCGATCCTTTTTTGGGATCGCTAATGCTATCGCATAACGATGGTTCCAATGGGCAAAATTCGCTTTGCGACGATCGGTAAGCGTTTCACTTACCGATCTTCGCATTGCGATGTCGGGGGAACAGCTGATCGGCGGTTCCAAAATGGCTGCCAGAAGACCCAAAATGGCCGCACACAGCGTTTTCGGGCCCTGCCCTCGCTTACCGAGGGCACGAAAATGCCTGCGCTATGGAGGAACATCGCTGAACGGTGAGTTTGGGGCCCATTGGGACGCATTAAACTTTGTTGGGTTTTTCTATTCCGTTTAGCGATGTTTCCGAATAGCGATGGTTAATCTGGAACGGATTAACCTCGCTATGCGGGGCACCACTGTACCTATTTATCTACTCACATTTTACATGCTTTCGAACTGCTAGGTTGGCAGGAGCTCGGACAGGCGATAGGAGCTCACTCCATTGCATGGATTCAAACTGCTGATCTTTCGACCTTGCAATCCAGAGGCTTAGTGGTTTAGAGCAGGCTGCAGATATAGATGTCCTCAAATAATATATTGGGGCAAATTCTATTTATAATTGCATCTTGTTTTTTTCCAGATGCTTCTGAAATACAGTATTGGTTTTGTGGTAGGTGAAAAGTTAGAAAAATGCTTCTGCAAAGTAAAACTTCCAAAGTAGCATGGTTTTACATGTTAAACATTTTTTCCTCTTACATGATATTTTTTGGAATGCTCCTTATTTGTTTGTGCACATAGATGTACTGTAGATATAAATATATAGATATTTACAAACTGTGAAATAACTTGAAACGTGGTGGGTAGCTAGTACGTTTTCAGCAGGGGTTACTATGTAGAGTTAACAGAGGGCAACTTGGCAAATGTTCAGACCTTCCCATTAACTTTGTTTAGCTTGGCATGAGACCTTGTGTTCCGCAGAATTCTCCTGGCCTACCTTTCTGCATGCTGAGCTAATCAGCAAATACCTAATGAGCCTGCTCTAAAGAAACGGATCCTCTCCCATCCGCATTCATTTTCATACATTCTCTAGGGGGAAGGGAGAGACAAGACTTCATGAGGACTGATGATGCTGCAAAGACCACAATAATGATAATTAACTTGCTGAATTTAGAAGATTATGCTGTTAATTAGTTGCAAAATAAAGATAAGTAATAGAGTAGCAGATGGTAAGATAACACCCAGGAGAAGGAGGGTTATTACTCTGATGAGGTTTTGTGGCAGATATGAAATATGGATCTGACTTCTCGTGAATTGTTGTTACAAAAATATTGTTTCTGTGAGCTCATGATTGAGTGATCTATTCCTGCCAATTCAGACAGAGGTGACGGGGGTTTGTCTTCAAGGGTATGCTTGCTTTTAAAAATATATTTGTTACTCAATATTATAATTTATTTAATGTTCCAGCAATATTGCATGCATATATTGAAGTAGTATCAATGTGCTGTGTTGTTGTTCGTTTTACTTTAAACCAGGAATACGTAGTCCATGAACCAATTTTGCCACCCAAACTGAACTGTCTGACCCATGGGTGTGGTGTTGGATATCACCTTGACAGAGGAGGAGAAGTTGGGATTCAGCTGCGATTTTTAAAAAGCTTCCTCAATCTATTTTGCATTTCTTTTGCTTTCTCCAGACCCCAACTGAGTCCTTTTCTCCATGCAAAGAGAGAAGTACAGAGTTCTGTGCATCTCCCTTGCTCAGGAAAAGGTAAAATAAATATTGGGAGGGGAAAATTGATGGCAGGGGTGCTTCAGGAGTAGAGACTCACTCCCCAACATAATCCAGTTCACCCCCAATTTCATCTTGTCATCAGATTTGTTCTGCAAGGCAGCCTGGACTTTTTGACGGGCCCATTTCCCTGTGCTTGGCTCCAATGTGCTTGTTTTGTATCACTAGATATGTAACAAAAAATCAGCATGCCAGCCTGGTGTGTAGTGGGATAGAGGATATACTCGTGGTGTAGCCTTTAGTCGCCTCTCTTTCTTCAGCCTACCCTATTTCATGGAGTAATTGAAGATACATGTATTTTGCCCTGAGCACCTTGTAGGAAGAAGAGCCTTAATAAATATCTGAAATTTCCAGATATAGGTCAGAATATAAATGTTTAAATAAGAAAGCACATAGATATGATGATTAACAGGTTGTTGAGTCTGATGAATACCGTGTCTGTTGATGTTGGGATGTTGTCCAGGATATTGTAAAACATTTGAGATGATTTAGGAGTGACCACTGCCTGAAATGTGGCAGCAGGAGCAATCATGGAAGCTGGGAATCATCTTGAATCAGAGACGGTGTCTGTGAGGAATTTTAAACTTAACCAACCAATAACTAAGTTGGCATTGCAGAGCATTGTTTATAATGGAAAAATATTATTATTGTTTTCTTTCCAGAGATTAAAAGCTGCTTTGACCCAGCAGCATTCGCAGGTAACAAATGGAGATACTGGAAAGGGGCAGACCAGTGGATTGGTTAGAACTCAATCAGAAGAAGCACGGCCACAGTCACTACAACAGCCTGCGACGTCTACTACTGAAACACCGGTATGAAGCCTTGTTTCTAACTCTGATCACTGTGTAAATCTCCTGTAATCCTTCCTTCTTGAAGAAGGAAAGTCTTCAGAGTAGGGAAGCAGATGTGAGCATTCCTTTAGGTAAAAGGAGATAGAAAGGAACGGCAAAAGGAGCATGTGAGTGCAGTGCGCCGAAGTTAAAAGCCAGTGCTATGTGTGAGACAGCAGTCTGTTTACTGCTTGCATGTTCCGCAGCTTAAGGTGGGCTTAGGTGGTTTAATAGCAATTTTGTGTCATCAGGTAGCTTCTGACATAGGGTGAGCCTTTCCAGGATTTACTATTTCTTTCTGGGGCATTCAGAAATGTAACTTGTTGTTTCAATAACGAACAGGATTTTTTGGCCTTCCCAACGATAGAATTCTGACAACGCAAGATACCTTACCTAAACTATGGACGGAGAACATGAAATTAGGAGTCAGTTCAGATATAATAATCTTGAATTTATTAGCACAAGGCATCAGTGCTTTGCTTTGTTGTATCAAGGATTGCTAGGAGCAATTCAGCATCATAAAGTCTAATACTGATAAAATCCTGCAGTAAGCAATGTGGCTTCTCTGCTCCATCTTTGTTCTTTTTGGTTCCTTGTTGGGAGAAATGCGGCATATAAATAAAACTAATAATAATAATAACCAGCTCCCTCCAGAACCTTCATGGACCTGTGGTTCAGCCCATCATGGTCCCATTTGTCCTGCTTCATTTTTTTTTTCTTCCTTCCTCTTTCGCTTCCTCTGGGACTCGCCTCTGGCTGGCTTCTTCATATGGTAGTCCACATGCTTCTTAGTTGTGTTATTTAAACCAGATATCTCTGTTTTGTCCCAAATGGGAACCTTTGGGTTGATGATAGTTTACTGATCAGGATTGTAAACAGTAGTTAGTAGTTGGTAGTAACTCAAAAGATGCCCATTTGTGATGTATTGGGAAGCTGTGGTTGAAGAAATACAGCATTGAATGTGATATGGTAAGGGCTAGGTAGGAGTGTAATGAGCCAATACAGTGGTGCCCCACATAGCGACGATAATCCATTCCGGAAAAATTGTCGCTATGTGGATTCGTCGCTATGCGGAACAAAAAAGCCCATAGGAATGCATTAAAACACGTTTAATGCGTTCCTATGGGCAAAAACTCACGGATATGCGATAAACCTCCATACGGCTGCCATTTTCACTGCCCAGTAAGCAAGGAATGGGTGCGAGAACCCTGGGGGCGGCCTTTTTTTTTTTTCCCCGGCGGCCATTTTGGAACCGCCGATCAGCTGTTATAAAAACATCGCTATGCGAAAATCGGTAAGCAAAACAGCTTACCAATCACCGCAAAGCGATGTTTTACCATTTAAAACATCGCAATGCGATCGCAAAAACGATCGCAAAAATACCATCGCTATGCGGATTCGTCGTTAAACGGGGCACCCATTATGCGGGGCACCACTGTACTTGTTTCCAATTTGCTAAACCATGATGTTGGCAAACTAGGATTACTATGTCTGATCAGCCCTTTAAATTTGTAGGTGTCAAGTAATTGCTAGGTTTCAGATAAAGTTTTCTCTAACAGAATCTTACCATTTTGCTTCTGATTTTGAGGAATGAAAACAAAGGGGTGTGTTTTTAGTTAAATTCAGTACTTAATGAAATAGCTGCATTTTGCACTGTTTTGTATGCTAAAGCACTGTGGATTAGGAGATTCCTGGTACTGTCCAATAGGTAGAATAAGTTAAAAGTTTATACCAGTCCAGTATGATTCAGATTTTTTAAAATACTTTTTTTAACAGGCTTCTCCAGCTCAGCCTGCACCACAAACTCCAAATACTGGGGGTCGACGAAGAAGAGCAGCAAATGAAGATCCTGATGAGAAAAGGCGGAAATTTCTAGAGAGGAACAGGGCAGCTGCTTCAAGATGTAGACAAAAAAGAAAAGTTTGGGTACAGTCTTTGGAAAAAAAAGCTGAAGATCTAAGTTCATTAAATGGTCAATTACAGGTATCTTGCTATAATTTTTCTGTTGCCAGTTTAAAACTGTCACTTTCAGTTTATCAGGTGTAAAATTAAACAGCATGAAACATGAAAATATTGTTCAGAAATAGGTTAAAGATATGCTTGCATACAGTGGTGACTTCATATGAATAGAAAATTGGAATGTGAAAAAACATTACAGTGGTGCCTCGCTTAACGATTTTCATTGGTTCCAAAAAAATCATCACTATGGGAAAACATTGCTAAGCGAAATGCGGTTTCCCATTGAAATGCATTGAAAACCAGATAATCCGTTCCAATAGGAACGGATTGTCGTCCTTAAGCGAAAATCGCCAGAGGAAACATCACTAAGCGAAACGCGGTTCCCTAATTGAAATGCATTGAAACCCATTCAATGCATCTCAATGGGGGGGGAAAATTCAACAACAAATTTAAAAAGAGTCGGAACAAAGTCAAATTTGGTTAACGAAGGGTTTATTAAGTGCACTTTATGATTTCAAACATTTTACACAGTAAACTTTAACTTTATAACATTTAAAAAACAGCAAACATGAGGCTGTTTAAACCATCGTTAAGCGAAACAGGGGACCAAAAAACCTAATCGTTATGCAAAGCATGGTCCCGAAATCGCTAAGCGAAAATCGCCCATAGGAAACATCGTTAAACGGAGCGCAAAAATACTCCGAAAAAGTCATCGCTAAGCGAATTCATCGTTAAACGAAGCGCTCGTTAAGCGAGGCACCACTGTATATGTCATTGCATTTCTGGAGATTTGACCTGCAATCTCTTCTGTCTTTTCTTCATAGAGGGATGCAAGACTTTGTTTTTCCTTTCCCTATGAATATGTATATAAATTCCCCCCACTCACATTGGCTAACACATGGTGGTTTATGTTTTTCATTTATGCATTTTTATTATTAACATCTTTAAAAGTGTGAGTGGTTTTGTGCAACTATTACTTCCTTAAAATCCACTACAAGCTTCACAAAAGTACAACTGGTCTCAGGAGGTACAAAATGGATTCTTTAGTTGAATTTTTTTAAAATTTCTATTCCTAGTACTTCCACCAACCCAAAATGGGACATCTGATTGTTACTGCTCTCCCCTAATTGTTGTGTGCGCACATCCATATTGAGTATTGAGGGACCCTCTGGAACAGTATTGGATATGTTGCAGGCAATAGACAGAATCAGTGAGAGCTGTATTCCTTGCCTTGTGTGAGTGGAAATACTTTCTCCTAATGCAGAAGAGCAGGGACGTGGTGGCGCTGCGGGCTAAACCGCAGAAGCCTGTGCTGCAGGGTCAGAAGACCAAGCAGTCGTAAGATCGAATCCACACGACAGAGTGAGCTCCCATCGCTTGTCCCAGCTCCCGCCAACCTAGCGGTTCGAAAGCATGTAAATGCGAGTAGATTAATAGGGACCACTTCGGTGGGAAGGTAACAGCGTTCCGTGTCTAAGTCGCACTGGCCATGTGACCACGGAAGATTGTCTTCGGACAAAACGCTGGCTCTATGGCTTGGAAACAGGGATGAGCACCGCCCCCTAGAGTCGCACACGACTGGACAAAAACTGTCAAGGGGAACCTTTCCTTAATGCAGAAGACAACATTTAGTACAATCTATGAATATTTCTTTTTTGTCAAATGCAATTGGCTGTCATTTATTGATCATAGAATCATACAGTTTTAGAGTTGGAAGAAGTCTTGAATATTGTCCAACCCCCAGTTAGTGCAGGAATCACAGTTAAAGTAACCCCAACAGATCGCTGTCGTTTGAAAACCTGCAGTGAGGGAGAGTTCATCATCTTTTGAGGTAAGCACTCCCACTGCGGATGACCACTTAGAGTGATACAGTTTTTCTAATATTTAGCCAAAATTTATTTTCTTGCAGTTTGAATCCATTGATTTATAGTAAATTTTAAATAATTGTACCAGCCTTCGCTTCTCCGTAAGTAATCCAAGAAGGACCATGCTTCGATTCAAGGGCTACTTTAGACATTACTTTGTAAGCAGTTTAGTCTGGCCATTCTGAGAGCCACTTTTGCCCAGCTGTTAATTCAAGGCCTACTTTGCTGCCTAAAAGCACTTCTGCTTATAATTCTGACTCACTCTGTGCATCTCCAAGAGTTGCTGCACACTTTTTTGTGCAGCCCCTCCAAACACACACTGTACACACACACACTTTCTCTCTGAATCCTACAGCACACGTTCTTTCTTGTCATGGATTCTAATTCACTTCTTGAAGTACTGAAAATATGTATTGTTCCAATATGTTTTAGAACTTTTGAATTATAATGATGATTTATCAAAGAAATTCTGAATAAAATAGTTAGCAGTTTTAACAGTGCTCATTCTATATGCAGCAAAATGACTTTAATACAGTCAAATGCACTGGAATAATCAATATTTATAGTTGACCCCATTGTTTTTGTCCATTTGCTTCTTGCTGTTCTTAACTGTTGATGATTTACAAGAGAGCATAAGTAGCCACTTCCAGCAAGAAAACCTAGAGAAGATGCCACTATAAAGATTATTCTGCGTATCTCTCTACATGCCTAATCCTAGCTAGAAATGTCTTCAGACCAATGTTACCCAAGTTATCAGTACTGCAACATTCTGCTAATGTTTAACCATATTTGGAATGGTCCATTCCATATACATTTTCTTTTTTCCAGTCACTTGTGCAGGAGAGAATTTGCTAACCTTTTGTAGAATACAAAGCCTATTGTTTTGGAAAAGCAGTTATGCATGAAGTGGTCCACTTACACAGCAATTACATTTTGTTATTGTGAACAAATTCTATTTTTTCTAGCCTTTCCTAAGTTACTTTCCAGGTTTAGACATTAAAACTGGTTCATTGGATGCTGTTCAAAAACTAACTAGGAGGCAGCATTATCTTGTCCTGTAGTAAGTTATTGTTAATCCTTACCGTCTAGAATAAACCTGATGTAATCTATGCTTGCTTTGTTTACATTGAAAGACAGCAGACATTTCCATAGGTATTTTCCTAAATAAACATGTAATTAGAGAAAAGTTTTTTTTTTTTCTGGTAGGTTCACAAGAGTTAATCTCATAGCCATAGATATATAAGAATTAATTTTTTACAGTCTGCCAGCAGCAGCTGGCTTGTAAAGAAAATTAAATGGCAAAGAAATAATTAAACTTTGCTTTATGTGGAAATATTAATCCTGATTTTCCATAATTCTTCACTTGACAGGCTTGCACAGCTGATCAGAGTACTGGGCAATAATGACCCATGATGACTTATGTTTCATATCAAATGTGATACTTATCCCATAGCTTGCTGGCTTTGAAATAATGCTAGGATTCAATTGTTCTTTGTTCTTGTTTTGCCTGTTCTGCAAAAGAAACAGATCAGGAAGTACGAATAGAAGCTTATGAATATGAAACATAAAAATGCTCTTGTAGAGCCCTACGTTACTTTATTCAGAGCTAAAGAAAGGTGTGAATCGCCAAATTAATTGGATTTGGTTAATCACTCTGGTTGTATTTAAGGATACAATGGTGCCTCGCTTAACGACGTTAATTCGTTCCAGCGAAATCGCTGTAGAGCGAAAACATCGTAAAGCGAAAATAAAAAACCCATTGAAACGCATTAAAACCCGGTTAATGCGTTCCAGTGGGCTAAAAACTCACCGTCCAGCGAAGATCCTCCATACGGTGGCCATTTTTGGTGCCTGTATAGCAAGAAATCCATCCCTAAGCACAACGGGGAGCCATTTTGAGCAGCCGGTGGCCATTTTGAAAACCCGATGATCAGCTGTTTTGACCGTCGTAATGAAAAGTTGGTTCCCGAAGCAGGGAGCCGATCTTTGCAAAGTGAAAAAAAAAATGTAAAACATTGTTTTGCGATCGCAATTGCGATCGCAAAAACATTGTTGTTAAGTGGATTCATCATAATGTGGGGTAATCGTTAAGCGGCGCACAACTGTATGTAATAAATTGTTCAATATATGAGAAAGTGGAATTGGAACTTGGCTTAAATTAATGTTTTGAAAACAGGTGTTTTAAAATATTAGGCTAATTGGATGTAACTTTTTTTTACAGATATTAAAATAGAGCAAAGCTTGCTTGAAAGAGGAACAGTTGTATCTGTCATTGCTTCTAATTATTGGAGTCAGCCAAATATGTATTCTCAAAGGCTTTCACGGCCGAGATCCGATGGTTGTTGTAGGTTTTTCGGACTGTTTGGCTGTGTTCTGGAGGTTTTTCTTCCTAATCTTTCTCCAGTCTCTGTGGCTGGCATCTTCAGAGGACAGGAGTTAGAACTTTGTGTTCTGGTTGGCCTTGGATATCACACCTTCATAATTAAATATACTCTGTGTGTAGCAGGGGTATGGCGCCTTTGATCCTCCAGTTGTTTTGGTGAACAACAACAAAAATCATTGGTAAAGAGTTGTGGAAATTGTAGTCCAAAAAATCTGTAAGACAGTTCCCTTTCCTGGTCTGTATGACATTTGTTGTTTTTATCTTTGGAACTAGGCTTGTCCTAGAAATTTTTAGAAATCTAAAGTTCATGTAATTGTAATATAGCCTGTGATATTAATTATGTTTTAGTAGAAAGTTTAAAATTTAACAATTACGCCAGTAAAAATTGAATCAGTTTGTTCATATAATTTCTAGTTATCAAACATATATACAGTGGTGCCTCGCATAATGAGTGCACCGTTTAACAACGAATCCGTATAGCGATCTATTTTTTGCGATCGCTAATGCGATTGCATTGCGATGTTTTGAATGGGAAAACATCGCATTGCGATGATCGGTAAGCGTTTCACTTACCGATTTCGCATTGCAATGTTTTTAGAACAGCTGATCGGTGGTTCCAAAATGGCCGCCGGGTGCCCAAAATGGCCACCGCAAGCATTTTCGCGCGGTTTCCTCGCTTCCCGAAAATGGCGGCGCTATGGAGGATCTTTGCTGAACTGTGAGTTTTCGCCCCATAGGAACGCATTTTTAGTTCCATTTAGCGACGATTCCGGATA